TCCCAACGCTGGAGCTGGAGAGAGAGAGAGAGAGAGCGCGCGACAGACAACTCTGTCTGAAATCCACAAGCACTTTATGAATGAGTCATCCCCGCTTGTGATGTGTTCCTGATTCATTGCGAATTGTGAAGAAGCATGGTAATATTTAAGATGTGTGATACTATCCTGTGTGTGTGTGTGCGTGTTGTTGTGACTGTGGTGTGACTGTGTGAAGCGTTGTTCGGGGGGTTTGGCCGAGAGATAATTGACTCCTTCAGTCACTGATCGGCCGTGAATCATCTGCAGGCATCTGACTTCCTGGAAAGCTAATTCAGGCGTTATAAACTTTTCCACATTGGGAATCATGAGGAGCCAACTGAGTTTCAAGTGTTCGCTCTTACAAAATACCTCTCTCTCCGGCCCGCAAACATTACCAAAGAATCCCGCTTTTCTGCCGAGATAGCAAATTCTGTGCTTTTGTTGGGACTGGAACTTGTGCGACGTGATGCAAATTGGGTATTTCGCGTGAGAATGTGATCCTACTTTCACTTCAGCTGAGACACGAGTCGCATTTCTGCTAAACACGCAGACGAACATTCTGCTCTGTGCAGGCCTGAAGGGCTCACGTTTGTCATCAAGTGATCTCAAAATTATTTAATCCAATTGTTGGGATGCTTTACTGTCACTGACAACAAAATAGCAACAAATCCTCCCATTAGAGAACCTTAAACCAGCGACTATTTGGCATTTCTGCTCGAAAAATGTAATCAAACAATTAGCAAAATAGTTGCAGATATAATTGCGTTAGCTCTGTACCGGCGCATTCGGGGAACTTCGAGGAAAAAAAGCAAACATTCAAGCAAACTCTTTAGCCCGTCGTACATCCTCCCCGTGTGCCCTCACGAAAAAAAAATCCATAAATGTCCCGCAAACGCAAGAGCCTGCAAGCGCACACATGTTTCAGGCGACATCCTCGTACTGCTGCAGCAGCTAAATCGGGCCTATAATCAACATTCTTCCAACAACAAGAACAGGGGCGCATTGGGGTAAACATGCCCAAATACACAC